TTTTTTTTTTTTTTTTGAATTGCTTCATTAGTTTTTAAAATATGACTGAACACGCAAAAAGCGAAATTAACATTAAGGGGTCCAAAATTTGAGTAGCTCTCCTGACCAAACTAAGGGGACCACATTTCCCAGATTTCGGCTACCCCCTATATTTTGAAGATAAAGAATCCAAATATGTAAAAAAAATGTATGTTTATTCAGAGTAAGTACGTTTTTGTGTCTGATTTCGCAACTTAATTAATAGTTAGCACTAATTAGCATATTTGAAGTCACCCCCAGGAACCATTAAGATTGTCGTGAAAATCCAATCATTAGAACGAAAGTTATTGAGGGTGATCGGTCCAGTAGTTGTAGAGAGCACTTACACCAGTGTAATTTATAGCAAATTAAAGAAAGATATTTCCTAGAAGAGATTCAGAAAATATTAGGAATCGTTATTGTTTATAAACATTTGTTGCGTATAATTGTTTGATTAGTAGTGGAATTGCGTCACACAAATATTGTACAGTTTGTTGACGTGTCGAGCAAACTGCCCCATTTAATACCAAGTAAGCTTCGTTACTCTTTACTAAATATTGATTACGGTCGATTATTTGCATCTTCTAATTGCTTTGATTTGATACTTCTATAAATTATCATAAAATATGTCTATACTTTCAGTTGTATAAGAAAAATATTTATAATGTTCTCAGAGGATTTACATAAATCTGTTCATTGTATCAAATAATTTTACAATACAGTTCCATTTAACGAACTTCTCTATTTTCGAGGAACATTTTGTAAATTTCTTCGTAAAATAACTGCCAAATGGCGAGTTTTCTATTTAACAAGCTTTCTTTGAGACCCTTATTTCTCAAAATATTTCTGGACATTTCCAACTGGTTAACGCGTTTAATGACCTACAATTATTCCTTTTTGTTTGCCTTTCAAACGGAGAACTCAGAAAAAATTAACCTCACTAGCAATTAAACTTAAGTAATATATGCTTAAAATCACTTTTACCAGAAATGCAGCTATCATTTTATACATAAATTTAGTTTTTTTTTTTTTTTTTTATGAAAATGTATGTAGTGTAACACTGGATAATGTTTTGCTCTATTCTTGCCTTCCATGTAGACTTCTTTCATGGTTAAGATTTATAAAATAAATAGTAGATGCCAGTTTACAAGAAAAAAGTGTATCAATTGCTATTTTGATTATGTCTAGTGCTTATGAATTTAAAACCTGTTTCATGTGGTTTCATTATTTCGAAAGGGGATTTTCTATTTAACGAATTTTCAATATAACGAACTTATTATCAGGATTTACCGACTTCGTTAAATGGAGATCCGACTGTACTTAACTTCAATTTTGTTCGAATTCATACTAATATTCTGTCTGTAATGTATGTATTTTTTATTAAAAAACTAACTTTATTTTCGAAAAATTAAATATATGCATCATGAATGTATGATTCTTGCATTTTAACTTTACTGATTCGCGTGTATCATATCTTACTATAGAATTACTTAATTACAAACATGATGACGGCTACTTCACACCATGTAGAAAAAGATTCTAGGTGATACTAGGAAATATCCTTTGTTTTGGTGTAGTGAAAAACCACTTTAGTGTGATATCTGGGCAGCGAGTCGCGGTGACTCAGGGGATAAAGCGCTTGCTTCAGATTAAGGCGACCTAGGTTCGATCCTAGCTTCGGCTGGTTGATTCGAATTTTGTCCACTTCTCGCACAGACTACAGTGCTGACGTAGATTAGCTTAGAGTCCCTTTGCCGTCAGGCTAACAGTGGGAGGTGGAAGTAGTTTTTTTCTCCATGTAAAGCAAATGCGGGTTAGCTCCATCAAAAAGTCCTCCACGAAGGCGTAAACCCCCAAAATTGGGTTGGCTGTTCAACGACTCTTCTAAAATATTTGGTCACCATATTTTGACTTCAGATACATGACAGTCGTGAAAAAGAGGACAGAAAATCTTTGAAATTAGTGAGAGATTATTAAATGTATTATTAAAAGTTATCTTGTAATTTATAAAATCCAAAATTTATTTAAGTTACTAAATTAATTTTGAAAATGCATAGATGAATGAATTTAGTGTATAATTTGCTTCCTTCTTCATGAATATACACTAAATATTGTTATGAAACGTTTATAGGTATAGTGACGTTTATATATAGATGTTTTTCCACGGTTTCAATACCTATTTCTTTTTCAATTTATTCTTTCTATTGATATGTTGAAATACAAAATGTAATTTTAAATAAAGTACCTTTCACTTTAACCGAACATAAAGAAAAGAAATATATCATATGTTATTAAAAATTAATAAATAATAATTTTATTGCTTTTTTGGAATTGGCTGGAAATTTCAAATGAGTAGTAGGAGTCGAACATTTAACTACCAACATTATTATAAAAATCAAAAGAATATCTTCATATTTTTTTTTACAATTATAAATAAAAATAGTTCGGCACGAAAACACGTAATTTTGAAGGGAAAAAAATTCAATTTCGGGTTATTTTCCCCCAAAGAGATGCCTGTCCCACGAAAGAAAGCCATAATGCTTGTAAATGAAAAGGTTCTGAAATAATCATTGTTTCGTGAAAAATTAAAACTAAAATTTGCAAATATAATTGTTTTCTTCAAAAATTCATTGTTTTGATAGAATTGAGTGCTTCACATTTTAAACAAAAAATAGAAGTTTGATCAAAATATTTTCCTAAATCGTCCTTCGATTGAAGGTCATTTAGGAGTATAAAGTAAAAATGAGTTGATTTGCCAGTTGCTCAAGAATGATGATGTCTTTGCAAGTAAGTAATATCCAATTTTAGTGCGCATCAACGACTTCATTAAATATAGATTACGATTGTTTTAGATGATTTGAAAATAAAGTGTTAAAACTTTTCTTTTATTTGCTTTTTAATCAAAATGCTTAAAATAATAATATGATTTGAATATTTTTGTTTTAAGAAATTTGATTATTTTCCACAGAAATATTTATTTAAATTATTGGTAAAAAGTATCGCTTAAATAAGCTTTTTTTAGCCACTTAAGCTTCTAATAACAAAAATTGTTTATAGAAAATTAAGATTAAATCTTTAATTTAAAACGAAAATTTATAAATGTTTTATAGAGGGATACGAATTTCATTTTATAAAAATGTTTCAATTTAAACACCGTTTCCAAACCAGAAAAAATATACGGCGCCTTTCGAAAATGTGTTGAAAATTTTTTAAAAACTTTTGGGTATAATTTCAATTAATTAGAATTATGAAACAGTTTTACTTATCTATTATATTTTTTAAAATTTTTCTTTATGCTTCAAACAGTTGTTTTTTCAAATAATATCGAGTTTGTGACAGTTTTCCGAAACTTAGTGTACTTAATTATTTACATCTTGGCAAGATTTTACATATATTATGTTTGAAAAAGTAACTTTTACTATTTGTCTTCTAACTTGACAAATAAAATATAATTTTGTAGAAATCTTTTAAAAAAATTCATTGCACTGCTTTCATTTATTAATGTACTTTAATGATGAATTTATTACGATTAAATATTAAATTTTAATTAGAAGAGCTTTTAAGGGTATAAAATTATGGTAATTAAACAACTGCTATAAATTTAATTTTATCTTAAATAACAATAATGCATAATAATATTAATGAAATGTAATTAAGTAACATTACATAGTGTAATGATATTCCTCAACTCTCTATTTTAAAAAATAAAATAAGTAAAGAATCCGAAGTAAATGAAATATTTAAAAAAGCTGAAATATTTAATGATGCAATAGAAATTTAAAATTCATTAACTCTTCACTTCATAAAAGAGATGTAAGAGAGACGTAAAAAATAAATGAAACACTTAAAAAAGCTGAAATATTTAATGATGCAATGGTAGTATAAAATTCGTTAACTTATTATTTTTAGAAGTAAAATAAGAAGAACATAAAAAGTAAATGAAACATTTAAAAAGGCAGAAATATTCAGAAGGCTGAAATAATCGGAATTTCAGAAATATTGAAAAAAAATTTCTTAAAAAACGTGCATTTTTAATTGGATATCTTTCTTTTTTTAGTTAATGCAAATAAATTGTTACAAAGACTATTTTTTTTCTTATGTCAGTCATAATTTCCTGCTGGAAACCACAGTGTACCGTTTCATTTTATTTATAATATTTTAAATTGAGTCATTTTTAAACAATTTTAATAAACAAGATGTCTTATACTATACCTTAAAATAAATAAGGTATATATGAAATATCAATATTTTTCTTTGCCAGAAATAATTCAAACTAGCCATATCGGACCAAATTTTTGTTTATTTTATTTTTTTCATTTATTTATTTACTTATTCATTTATTTTCTGCACGTGTAACACTTATTTAATGAAATGATAATATTCAAGCATTAATGGAGAAAACATTAATTTCTCTGAAGTTAATTTTTATAACAGGTTAAAAGATTACGAAGCATGACTGTTAAGACAATCTTGAGACATGCCAGTTGTGGCACCTCGAAAAGCGTTTATCACTTAAAATCTCAAAAATTAAACATTAAGGTTTATAAAAATTTCCAAGAAATTATTTAGTCATTTTAATAATTTTCGAAATTGGTAAATTTTTAGAAACATGTTATAACTTTTAAAATCTTTGCGCTATTTATCTCATTATAGCTTTACCTTAATGAAAAAGCACTTAAACTGTAGTTTTAAAGAGCCTCAAAAAACACTGTTGATGTTGTAAATGAATGTGAGAAAAAATATACATTAGGTGTTCCATAATGTCCACCCTTAATGTATGTGTAATATAGATAGATATATATATGTTACTGTGAATGACTGAAGTTGGTGGTTGTTGACTTCCACCGGTGAATGTTGACAATCACATAGCCGCTTTGGTAAATGGCCGAAATATATACTAGGTCTAGTTAAGTGCCACTGCCCGGTAAGCCCCGCATCAATGTTTTTTTAAGGTGCCACTGCTCAGTATTCATATAGCCGGTATTTCGAACACTGATGTTTCTCCTAATCTATTCTCAGCAATTATTGAAATATCGAATAAGCATAATAACATCAACGAATAAATTAATATCAAATTGGATATAACAAATATTTCGGACATTCCCCAAACCAAATATGTAATTGTTGACATTCATCGGTGAAAGTCGACATTCTCTTGATTTTGGCCATTCACGTTTACACACTCCCGCATATATATATATTACAATTCAACATGCATGATTGATTGCATGAAGAAAACTTAACTGTATTTTCAATATTCATAGTTCAACTCCTATCTCTTTCTTTAGACAATGAAATGTTTTTCGGTATCTTCAACTCCACTTTCCTCTGTAGTGATTGATTAGATTTCTATTGCTCAGGTAAACCTTAATGAGTCTCCCAAGGGTACACAAAGTATATAATTTAGGGAGGCTATTGAGGAACATGTTACGTACTAGATATGCAAAAATTTCTAGAACAATTATAAGATTTTTTTTCAGAATTTATTCTCTATATTGGATGGAAAACAAAACATGATTTATTTTAAATTTCTCTTGCGTACACCCTTTTCTATTCAATCTTCGAGTCCTGCGTACCTTGAAAAAAATTTCTAACACTACAACACTCTCCATATAATAATGGAATCTTCAAGACTAAAATAAAGAAATATCAGTTTCTTGAGTTTTTTAAGAAATTTTATTATTTTCCAACGAAATATTTGTTTAAATATATGTTAAAAGTAGAGCTTGAATAAGCTTTTTTTAGCCACTGAAGCTTTTAAAAATAATAATAAAAAATTCTAAATAATTAAGATTATTTTCTTGAGTTTGTCATACTTACAATTTTATTAGTTATCTACGTGGTCTGCGTAGTCCTCGATGGAAACATGTTAAATAAACCTCATATAGGGAATGTAATCCTGATCCCACACCGATATCTGTGGGACCTCAATTCTGCTCGATCGAAATTCAGAATTTTCTTATTTAAAATGTCTTTCATTGATGATCAAAATAATTTTAAACATTTAAGAGATAGAGTGTAGCTTAATCATGTGCAATCACAAAAGTGCTTTTAAAGCGCAACAAAGTGAATCTGAAATTAGGGAAAAGAAATGTATTAGAGGATGGAACTTTTTTAATTTATTTTATAACAGTCGTTGAACTGCTGACCCAATTTTAGGGTTTAATGACTTCTAATATTCAACTCCGCAGCCTTGTCATTTTGAACCCAATCCAGAAGACAAGGAAACTCCTGGATCAAGTATTGGGAGAAATGTTGCCTTCGTGGAGAACTTTTTGAAGATGGAACTAACCCGCATTTGCGTTACTTGGAGAGGAAGACCACGAGAACCTCCCTTAGGCAAAGGACCCATGATCCTGAGGATATTTCACGTCAGCATTGTGTAATCCGGTTCACCTCATTGGAAGATACACAGAGGATGCTATTGTAATAGGGCAGTTGAACAACATAGTTCTCTCCCGCAAATTATAATGGAAAAGGAGCCTTTTAGAGACTCAAAGGTTGATTGGATAGCTCGTTCACCAGGCTCTGCCTACATCACGTGGTATGCGGCGATACTATTTCGCTATTTTTAGGAGAAGGTTATGAACAAGGTTGCTATTTGGCGATCGTATGGCAAAAATATTTATTTCGCAAACTTCATCTGCATTTTTTGAACATTAAATATTTCATAAATTTGATGATATTTCGCGCCATTTTTCATGATAGTTCTCTCTTTTGAGTGAATAGTTTGTCCTTTTTGAGATATTTTGCTGGGAAAACAGCAGTTTTTAAATTTAAAATATATTTAAGTAGCTAGAGAAACTGAAGGTATAATAGCAGATGATAAAGCGAAGTAAGTGAGTGAAAAAGAAGTCAGTGTTGTGTTTGGCTCGCATTAAGGGTTGTCTCAATTTCAATCACGGAGATCTTTCTCTTCTTATTCCCGCGCTGAAATGAACTCTGCGTCCGAGGAAGTGGAGCCAAGTGCCAACTCCTGGTGAACGAACTATACCAGCAGAATCAGAACGATGCTTTATTCGTCCCTAAAATTCGATCCAGACAACTCATGGGACATTTCTTACTTACTTATTAAAAGCATTGAAGAAATACTTATAACTAAGTTTTTAAAAATCATAATTTTCATGATTCGCTTGGCAGTGTATTTACAAAATATAATATTTATTAGTATTATTTATTTTTTACTTTTCTCTGTTGTCAATTATAATGTTTTAAACTACAGTCGGACCCCGATTTAACGAATTCATAGGGACTGAAAATACTATTCGTTAAATCGGGGATAATTCGTAATATCGGGGGCAAAATTTAAAAAAACAAATTACTAACCTTACGGAATATGCGAACAACTCTAATAAGCAAATACACAAAATAAATAGAAATCTTGCACTTTTTATTCAGATTGAATGATTCGAATGTTTACGCGCTAATTAATTTGAAATTTTAAAGCATTTCGTGAGTAAGGTTTGCTTATTTCCTTGATTTCATACTTTAAAAAGTTCTTTTTCAACGGCAGAAGAAAATACTCCTTCATTTAGAGCATTAGGTTAGTTTTCATTGTTTCCAAAGCATCAGAAAAAGTAACAGTTTTCACTGGAGATTCATTATCTTCTGTGTCGCTATTCATTGTTTCCTATAAAACTACTTCATTAACTTTATAAAATTCGGTAAATAGGGATTCGTTAAACCGGGGTTTGACTGCAATTCTAAGTTTGGATGGAATGCTTTAATGGAAATTATGACAAACCCATGGGATAGAGCGGAATCAGGAAATTTCACTCCCGAAATCA